TCCGGCATACTTGCGTCGAATCCCGACATCTTGCACGATCAAATTCCGATCGCACGTGTCGAAAACCTCGTACTTGAATAGTTTCATTTTGGAACGTAAAAACTCATATTTCGTCATATCCCAACACTTACGAAGCATCTCACTTGGGACCTCTTGCATCTTCAACGCCGCCCAGCCGGGTGGATCTCCAACAATGCCAAGTCCTACTTTGACCAAATTGTCCACTGGGTGGCAATCATTTAGCCTCATGCGCTTTGGGATTCAATGGCGTACCCTTTGCTCCATGTTTGATACACTGATGAAGTCTAAGCACCGGGTGCGTACGGGTTTGGCGATTCAGACCGTGTCTTTACTCCTCCGACCCTGATTCCATTTCAAGGATGTGGACAAGGCAATGGGGCAGGACCTCCTATCTGGGTTGCAATTAGCTCCATTCTCTTGGGTATGATGAGTAGCAAAGGCTTTGGCTTTGACTTTCTGATGTCAATCTCTTGGGCTCCGCTCTTGGCCAATTGCTTTTGTTTTGTTGATGACACTGATGTCTGCCAAGCGGCACCGTCTCCTGACCAGTCTGGGGAATCTATCGTCCCCGAGGTGGCCAAAGCACTGAAATGGTGGTCCAACGGCGTCCGCCTGACTGGTGGCGCCATCCGACCAGATAAATCCTTTTGGTACCTGATTGACTTCAAGTGGAATGCCCAACAAGGTGTATGGAAATTCCGGCGGAAGGGGGATTTCAAATCATCTCTTCTTCCCACTGGAACGTCGGCAATTGCGGTGGAACTGGATGATCTGGATGGCACCCCAGTGCATCTGCAGTGGTTGGAACCGAATTGGCGAAGACTTTGGGTATTCTGATGTCCCCCTGCTCAAACCGGAAAGCACAACTTGTGGTGATGCAGGGAAAAGCAAAAACATGGGCGGATCAGATCCAACCTAGCTTCCTCCACCAATATGATGTCCTCCCTCTCCTTTGCACCACAATCCAGAAGACTTTGGAGTACCCCATGGCGCTCACCTTCTTCTCTCAGCAGGAGTGGGACAAGATACTATCCCCAGTTCTCAGGGCGGCAGTTCCAAAGGCTGGTATTTGCCGCAACTTTCCTCGTGCTATGGTCTATGCCCCTATTGCACTCCAAGGAGTGGGTGTCCCTCATCCGTACGGTCTCCAAGTCATCAAACACTTGGACATGCTACTTCGCCATCCTGCCAATCAGACCAAGACGGGCGCCTTCCTGGAGGCAGTCCTTCAAGCACATCAGCTTGAAACCGGTACCTCCTACGGCCTCTTCGTCAGCGCACCTTCTACTTTGCCTCGTTGCTTCACCCCTGATCTCCCACCTCTATCAGTGGACGCTGTCCGCGCCTCAGTCTCTGTCTTCCCTAGCCGTTCCCCGATCCACAAGAGCCGGGTCCTCCTCCACTCTACGGGTCCTCACCTACCAGCCGAAGCCATCTTCCATCCTTGACCTCTGGCATCACTTTGGCAGTCTGGCTGAATCAGGTTCTCATGGCTGGGTTCCAGAGGTCATTACCATTGAAGGTAGTGCGGACCGCCTGGTTCAGGCCCTTCTTGCCAGTACCCTTGGTGCTGTGAGCAACGGCTCTTACAAAGCTAAAGTGGGCACAGCATGCGCTCAGATTCTCACTGAGGATCGCAGGGATATCATCTGGATCACCTGCCAAACCCCTGGGAAATTTGAGGATCAGAGTTCAACGCGCAGCGAATTGATTGGCCTTATGGCTTCTCTCCTGGTGTTGGACTGGATGTCTCAGGCCGCCCAACTGAAACGCTTTGCCAGCCAACCGTCTGTTGAGATGGCCTGCGACGGGCTCATAGCTCTTGATAAGTCCTTCTCCGAAGTCCACCTGTCCTCGTCTGGTGCCCAGTTTGATCTGGTCTCCACCATCCGGACCGTGCTTCGCCACCTTCCCCTCCAAGTTCACCGGCGCCATGTTAAAGGACACCTGGACAAGCACCGGCCTTTCTTCCAACTGGACTGGTGGGAGCAGCGCAATGTGGAAGAGGACTCCAAAGCACAAGCCTACCACCGCCTGCTGGAGTCTACAGGCCGTTCTGCCGCCTCCAACCCCCGCTTCTTCCATGAACTGGTGTCTTTATTCATTGATGGTGTTAAGTCCTCTAAACTGGATCAGGCTCACATCATGGAGCTGGTCTCTCTTCCTGCCCTTTGAGCATATTGGTCCTCCAAGGACCGCCTCTCCGAGCAGTCCATCCGCGAGGTCAATTGGTTGTCTCTTGCACGTGCCATGAAGGCCCTCCCAACCAATTTACAACGCTGGACACCCAAGCATATCTCTGGTATGACGGGTGTGGGAAAATTCTTGGCCATTTGGAACCGTTCGGCAAAGAGTTCCTGCCCCAGATGCTCCTCCTGCCCCGTGGAAGATCACCTCCATGTCCCACCCTGTTCTGCTCCTACCGCAGCTGTAGAATGGTCAAACGCCATCTGGCCCTCCGGACCTGGATGCAGACTCAGCAGACTGCCCCAGAGATCGAAGCCTTCCTTTTTGAATACCTGAAGACAGTCGGTCAGCCTTCCTTGGGCGTGACCACTTCCCAAGCCTGGTCCCGCCATCCCCACCTCTTCCAAAGTGCCATCTCTTCACAAGCCATGCTTGGGGCCCAGGGCCTCCTTGAAGGCCTAGTGCCCTCCAACTGGAGACACCTGCAGGCCCTTCACTTCTCCTACATTGGCTCCAAGAAGTCCGCCAACCTTTGGGCCTCCCGTCTGATACCCCGCCCCGAGTGGCAAGATGCCTCACACTGGTTCAACAGTACTGGACTCACCTCCGTATGGTAAATGGCCATGACAGCCGCTAACAGCAATCGTTTTAATATGATTAATGCATCAGTTATATATATATATTGAAGCGATTTACATTGAACCTACAAAGGGACAACGTACTGGGCACCAAGTGCTCAACCTCAATACTAAGAAAATGATTTCCCAACCCAAGGTCATCGTACTACCCGTTGCCAACCAAGTAATCCAGCGTGTAACTTGGGCTGCTGCCAAAGGTGTTACTTCCATGAAGTTTTTGATAAGAAGAGAGATTTGGAGACATCTCAAGATGGCGATCAATGACACAGAACAAGGTTACTTAGAAGAAGCCTTTGATCAGGACTATGAACCTGAAGATGAAGATGAACGTGATTTCAATCTACATGGACGATCAAGAAAATGTCGATAGAGGAACCGATGATATTGGGAGCCTTGTTATATTCCGAAAAAACAAACAATTAAAAACCACACGCAATCCGGGTTCCAAAACAGCACCTCTAGTACTTCTCCTACACGGAGCGGCCGTAGCGACGCCAAAAAAGAGGTTGTTTTCAACTGGAAAACAAAGGACCAAGATGAGCAAAAGAACGACAGGCAAGGGCCCAAGGGCACAAAGTGTATCCAAAAACGATTCCTATCATGCTCCTGTAAGCCTTGTCCAAAAAGAATGGGGGAAAGTGGACAAAATCTGCCCATTTGATGCTTCTGCCTTTTTGGGTCTGTTGGACGACGATGACAGTGACAAAATCGCTGATGATGATGAGGATAACAAGACGCCGTACAGTCAGAAAGCAAACTGGGATTCCTATTATATCAGTAGTTATCCTGTCCCACAAGGAACATGCATGGAGTTGGTGTTTTTGGCGTATTTTGCGCGCGTCGAATATTTAGTAGAAATTGAACTTTCAGGAACACCCGGCAAATGTTCAGACCGAGTATTTTCTTGACACTGATTGCAAAGTTTGACGTGCTTGTGCCCGGAGAAATAAAACTATATTTTTAGCTTCGGAAAATCTATATTATTCCCCTTTAACTATTAATGACACATTAATTATGTGAAAATTGATCAAACAGGGACTTAAGGACACAGATGACCGATTGGTCATTGTGACTTTTTCTGGACCGTGTGGCAAAAACGTGTATTTCGAGATTCTCCGATCATCGAGATTTCGTGTTTCCACGCGGAAAAGACGAACGTTATCACATGACCCGTTTGTCCGGACGGACACCCGAAAAAAAAGGGAACTTTTAGGGAACTTCCCGGGGATTTTTAGGGAACTTCCCGGGGATTTTTAGGGAACTTCCCGGGTACTTTTAGGGAATTTCCCGGGTACTTATAGGGGACTTTTAGGGAATTTTTAGGGAATTTTTAGGGAATTTTTAGGGAACTTTCAGGGAACTTTTTAGGGAACTTTTGCGAAACAATATTCCCTCAAAAGACAAACCATACAAATAAAAGAGAATTGCACTATAGTAGATGACGCTATTCAAAGGACGGCCATTCTCAATTTTGTATTGAATCAAAACGAGAAAGTCAGTGTAAACGGTTTCATGCTTGTCCATAGTATAACAAAAACAAGTTCCAATAGTGTCAAAACATTTCAATCTCTCGTTGAGGTTCACCTACCGCCGAAGTCTAGCCCAAATCTTGAACTTGAGAACTTTGGGGTTGTCGGTTTCTTGAATAATAGATGTGACCATCCAGTGAACAAAGACAAAGACCTTGTTCTAAACAAGACTTTTTGGCCAAATGTACGCCATTGCCCATCTGCGAGTAGACATGGTTTGGGTCCATGCTTTCGGTGATGTCTCTCCAGCACTGTCCTTGATAGGTTTCTTGGGCTCATTTTTCGCATTGCTGGTTCTCCAATCCTTCAACTACTATTGTCCAGCATTGTCAGTCGCTCCAGTATTCATTGTAGGCTATCGACAGTGAAGAGTGCCCTTGTTGATAGCATTGGATTGTCCAAAACCGATGCCAATGGCATAATAATAATTCACAATTTGAAAAGTAACAGTTTCTTTGCGATTGGGAAACCAGGGATAGCATTTGGGGAGTCTCAATTAATCTCCCAAAAGTTCCCTGAAAGTTCCCTAAAAGTTCCCTGAAAGTTCCCTAAAAGTTCCCTAAAAGTTCCCTAAAAGTTCCCTTTTTTTCCCGGGATTTCCAGGATATCCCCATCTGAAAACAGTTTTCAGTTTTACCGCGTCATCACTGATTAGCGCGTGTTTCACAACCTATAGTCGGGTCTGGAGGTTCACAACGGAATCCTGAGTATAACTCACACGTTTGAGTAACAATTCAACGCCGTGAGTTATAACTCACACGTTTGAGTTATCAAACGTGTGAGTTATAACTCAAACGTGTGAGTTTTTACTCAAACGTACTCAGAAAATGTCAGGGGGATGACGTTCTCCAATGGGGGAAGGGCAGCTTCAAGCGATCCACGAATGAAAATCATCCGTTGGGATCACCTCCATCACGCAGAAAATTTGATGCCAATTCTTTTTTTTTAAAGTCACAATACAATCAAAATGCGATTTGGAAACATCGCAGTACGGCTGCTTGCAGCTGAGGCATTACGACAAAGGGCCCTTGACTTGATTGAGGGAGTCGATCCAAAGGGGAGTTTCCCAAGGCGTCATCGTCAAAAAGCGAAATTAGGAATTTCAACACCCGTCGCCAATCGTTCGCATATTGAGCGAATAGCATGTTCACCCTTACTTCAACTGAATAATTAGCGTAGAGGTCCTTAAACGGGCTGTCAAACCTTGGGAGCGCTTGGGTCCACCGATCATTATGTTCTTCCATCCATTGATTGTAAATGGAGTTACCAAACAAAATCTTAGTTGAATTATAGTCGTACCCGATAGCAATCAATTCGTGAGTAGATAACCCAAAGTCAATCAGTGGTGGGAGAGATGCGATCAGCTCTCGAATCTCCAAATCATTGTTGACAGTAGGATCCCTGTCCTTAGGTTGACGTAAATCAACTGCAGATGCATTTTCCAATCTTTTCTTTCCGCTCTTTTTGGCGACAGAAACCGATTTGGGTGTGGACCCGCCCGCCTTGTTGGCAGTCGTTGAGACAACCTTCAGTGATGTAGACTTCCCCATTGTAAAACAGTGAAATGCCGTTGAATTGATAAAAACTTCAGCAAGTTCTATGTAGACTCTGGTACTTAGACTACGAAGACCGTTTGCAAGTTCCGATCGGTTTGGTGCTTTTCGTTTTTCGTGTTTTATTTTTCTATATTGGAACGTCCGTATTACTCCCAAGTCATCTAAGCTCTGTACTATCATCTTACCCTGGGGCAAATATAGTTACCAAAAACTGCCCATGGGCGCAATGCCCTCAGCTTACATTTTTCAAGAAGCTATGAATCGCCTCATGAAAGGCCTTGGCGACGTCTTAACGTACTTAGACAACGTCCTCTGTGTCACCAAAGGTGACTTCAAAGACCACCTTCAACGGCTAGAACTATGTCTCCAACGGCTCCACAAAGCCGGCCTTAAGGTTAATTTACCCAAATCTGAGTTTGCAACTCAACAATTCAAATACTTAGGCTACTTGGTCTCACGCCAAGGCATTCGCCCTATTGCTTCAAAAGTGGAAGCGATTCAGCGGTTGAAACCCCCAAAAACTTTGAAACAATTACGCTCATTCCTTGGCATGCTCAATTATTACCGTGATATGTGGGAAAAGCGCTCACACATGTTAGCTCCATTTACTGAACTAATCAAATCAAGCAAAAAAGGACGTCCATTAATATGGAAACAAGAACACACAGAAGCGTTCAAACATGTGAAACGAGTGATTGCAAAAGACACTATGCTTGCATTCCCTGATTTCTCCAAACCTTTCACAATACACACTGATGCTCGCGACTTCCAGCTTGGTGGAGTGATTTCCCAAGAAGGAAAACCTATTGCTTTCTATAGCAGAAAATTAAATCCTGCGCAAAGAAACTACACAACAGGAGAACGCGAAATGTTGTCAATCGTTGAAACATTACGCAAATACCGCAACATCTTGCTTGGTTGCGAAATTATTGTATATACCGACCACAAAAATCATACAGACCCGAAAACCATTTCTCAATCCCCAAGAATCCAACGATGGAGATGGATCATTGAAGAATTTGGGCCAGACATAAGACATATCGATGGATCTGCCAATGCGGTCGCCGATTGCTTAAGTCGTATGGACGCAGACTTCATGACAAAATATGACAAATTTGACGAAGTCCAACTAGCTGAAAGGTTCGACATGGACTCGCTGGAAGGTTATAAGGCGGAGAAATATCAATTCCCCCTCGACACCGGTCTAATCGCAGAGTATCAAAAGAAAGATAAAACTCTAATGCGACATTTACAAAACCATCCAGAATACTTTTCCAAAGAGGTGCATGGCACCGAAATAATCTTATTCCACAAAAAGATTTATGTTCCTAAGCCACTACGACAGCATGTTCTACAGTGGTATCATGACATGTTACAGCACCCTGGCGTAACACGAACTGAGCGAACCATTCGCCAACACCTAACTTGGCCAGGTCTACGACACGACGTCGAGACTCACGTGAAGCATTGCCGCAAATGCCAACTATGTAAAAATCCAAAACTTAAATACGGCAAACTGCCAGTAAAAGAATTTACCTATAAGCCTTGGAACACCATTTGTGTCGATCTTATCGGTCCTTACACCGTATCTACAAAAGACGGAAAAGATATCAAACTACACGCCATGACGATTTGTGATCCAGCGACTGGATGGTTCGAAATTGTAGAAATTGATGACAAAAAGTCACTTACTACATCAACGATGCTCGACCGCGTATGGTTCTCACGATATCCAAGACCTCAAGAATGCATTTTCGACAATGGTAAAGAATTCCTTGGCGAAGAATTCCAAGAACTACTAAAAAGTTATGGAATCAAACCGGTCCCTACAACAGTCAAGAACCCTCAAGCTAATTATGTGGAACGGATCCACCAAACGCTCGGAAACATGCTCCGTACAAACGAATTAGAGGAATTTGACTTCGATTATAATGATCCTTGGACCCAAATCTTAAGCAGCTGCGCTTGGGCTATTCGCTCCACTATCCATACTGTCATGGAAGCGATAGTCTTCGGTCGTGATATGCTTTTCGACCTCTCATTTAAAACGAAATGGCGCGATATTAAAAGCAAACGTCAACAAGCCGCAAATAAGAATAACGCGCAAGAAAACTCCAAACGCCAGCCACATATATACCGCGTGGGTGATTTGGTCCTCCTTGATCGCGGCAAATTGCAACAAAAACTCCTGCCCAAACGAACAGGTCCATATCAAGTACTCTGTGTCTACGACAATGGCACAATCAAACTCCGACGTGGCTTCTATGCACAACGCGTAAGTCTCCGACGATGCGTTCCTTACTACACCCCCATCAACGCTTGATTCCGCCATGGAAGCGAATGACGTACTCTCTACAGACCGTTGGTCATCCGGCCAGACTTCCAATGTACTTCCAGAAGATGTTACATCTTACGCTCTTTTTAACAGACGCTTTTGTTATACTCCTATCGGTTACTCAATATTCCAGGCCTAACTATTATTGGCCCTCCTAAGTACTTTGATCGTTACTGAATATTTCAGCACGTTACTGAATATTTTAGACCAAAGCTTGGCCAAACCAAGACTAGATAGCACACCTAAAACCACTATTGTAATGCTCACAATTTCATTATCAACTGATATCAAATCCCTTTGATCTAGGTTAAGTCATGATGGGAGACAAATTGGGCGATTTCTGATGGGGAAATCGCGACAGTTAGCTGTAGGCGTAACTGCGACTGTTAATCTGACAGAAATAAATGAAAATAGACTATAAGCCTATAGTTGACTAGTTCCTACAAGTTGATCAATATCAATTCAAGTAAAAAGCATGCATTGAGGATTGCCTGGGCAATCCTCGCTTGTTTCATGCAGAATATTACGCACAATTGCGGAACCTGCCATGTCGGTTCTTTCTACGATAATATCACTGGCTGAGGCCCATTCCAAATGGACGAATTTTGCGTATTTTCCGTGTATTTGAATAGATGTACAACGTCTGTTTTCAACGGATTTTATACGTGACCATTGATTTTTCATTGTATTAAACAAATCCCTTAAGTAAAATACTCCGATTTCAATAGTTTTTGCGCCATTTGGAATTTTTTGTGCATTCGAATCTGGGAACATCAATCATCAATAATCATCCTCTGGTCGTCATATTTCAAATCAACCTGATCTGTCTACCATTGAACTGACACAATGGGAAACACGTGAGGATATCTACCCTCCGCCAAAAGAGATTGCAGAAGCTCTACAGGATGCAAAAGGAAAAGCAAGGCGCTCAATGGCTGTCCAATTGTTCTCTGCAAAATATTGTGGCAACGGAAACTTGAAGGTGGCCAAAATCCAAACCAAAAAAGTATCAAAAACATCATAGAGTTGGGAGGAAGAGACCCTGAATAGCGGTACCAAGTCCAGATATGATCCACCTGCAAGCATCCTCAGACCAATTGCAACTTATATTGTTGGCTTAAAACAGCCAGTCTGGTCCTCAAAAATGTGACAAGCTGGTTCTGACCCAGCTACCGGTATATCCTATCTATTTGTCACGCCTGAAGACCACTTTCAATCCATATAAACCTGGATTTTCCACAAGTACTTTGTTAGTCCCAACAGTACTTCATTAGTTCTTACACGCGCACGTGAATTCCCAACACGTATTTCCCCTGAAACAGGAGCAACTGCTTGTTCTCTTGGCTCCTGACTCCCATAAATTCGTTTGCGACGCTGAGAAAGAAATGACTCAGAACGAAACATTTCTATTCTTGGGTGAACGCTCAAGATTACACTAGAAGATAAGATATCAATTCAAGGTAAACAAAACACGACACGATGAGTCGATCGGGAATTGACAAACAGTTGATGCGCTTGGTGCGCAAAGTTCCAACTGTTCTCATCCGACAACATGTCATCATATCTATTTTACTATTAATTACTATAAGACCCGTAAGACTGCTAACGTACAAATCGTATTGGTCCGAGTCATAAAACCCGTTCTTGATACAATTCTGTCACTCCCCAAATGGGTGAGTGAGTGAGGACCTAATTCTCCTCAGCTGTGTCATCTACTCAGAAAAGTAGTATATGTAGCTGCGGCCACTTTGTTGATATCGTTTGCTAAGGATATTGGCCTGGTGTTTAGCCTCTTCTGTGTGTAGAAAGGGGAGCATATTGGATGCAATAGCCTCTCTTACACGGTGTAACAACAGTACAACATGTTGGTTGTCTGCTTTTGTATTAGGTCTTGGTGAGCTGTTGGCAACAGTCTCAGTAGCCTTGGGTCCATCAATATGAGGCAAAGAAAACCTTTGTAGGTGAAAAACTTTGTTCATATGATGTAATGGCAACAAGGTACGCCATATGTGTAGTTGGTACAATGTCGTCTTGTACTGTTTAGTTATATGCCAAGGCAAGCCATCAAGGAGTGGCTCATTGCCTTCAAGCAGTGGTTGCAGACCAGTTGTTTGTTTGATACTGAAACGATGGAAGTGAATCCGTCTGAAGAAATCTGGTCTTTACGCATTTTGGCCATGCGGATTTCTTTACAAAATCCGTTTTCCTTTTTCGGTATTGATGAGTTTGAGGGCAAACCGGACGACAACCAATTCTTCTCCGGCGAAATGTCCAATCCACGGCTCCGCTTGGAGCATCCCTTGGTGGGCTTTTGGTTAATTTGCTCCGAGTTGTTTGATTATCCTTGGATTAATGAGTTTCTGGTGGAGTATTACGATGACCCGCCATCCGCAATTGTTGACGCAATCAAACAAACAAGAAGTGGCAAGTCTATCAACAATGCTCCAAATCGAGAATCAGTGAAGGAACCGGATCCGCCTCGTATCCAAAAAATATACGATCCGATGTATTCTATTGATGAACCGGGCACGGATGTTCAACGCGAATCCACCAGCTCCGAAGGGGACCAGGTGCAAAATCCAAATCGCTTTGCACCTCTACAAAGTGATGATGATTGGTTTGAAGGTAGTGGAATTCAGGACTTTGACGAGGTTGAAGTGGTGGCGGTGAAAAAGAATGCCCCCAAGGCGCCTGAGTTGTTGGATGAAGACACTGAAGATGACGACATTGACGACAGGGAGAACATTGTGGACGACGCAATGGAGGAAGACGAGGATGACGAACGGGTCACTACCGCTGGGGCGAACCCACATGATGAGGCCATGGTCGACAACACTCCACCGTTGACTTCTTCTAAACTTAAGGCAAAACAAGACTCAGCAGGTACAGGGACCTTTATGGAGCCCTCGGAATCAACTCCTTCTCGCTGGGCGAGAAGAAACTACGCACACGCATTCGCGTCGGCTTCTCGGCTGAGGCCTCGGTCGAGGCCGTCCAAGACTATCTTCATACCGGCTTACGTCAATTGGGGAGAGGCGCTGGGTGCTACCCTTCTCCCTTGCAGTATGGAGA